TGTGTGTGTGGTATGTGTGGTGTGTATGTATGTGTGTGTATGTGTGTGTGTGTGGTGTGTGTGTGTATGTGTGTGTGTGGTGTGTGTGGTGTGTATGTATGTGTGTGTATGTGTGTGTGTGTGGAATGTGTGGTGTGTGTGGTGCGTATGTATGTGTGTGTATGTGTGTGTGTGTATGTATGTGTGTGTGTGGTGTGTGTGGTGTGTATGTGTGTGTGTGTATGTGTGTGTGTGGTGTGTGTGGTGTGTATGTGTGTGTGTGTATGTGTGTGTGTATGTGTGTGTGTGGTATGTGTGTGTGTGGTATGTGTGGTGTGTGTGTATGAATGCTTACTCATGTGCACACACACAAGCAGGCAGGAATATCTTTAAGGGGACAAAAGAAACTCTGTTGCTGTAACTTTCATTATGCTCAATTTCAATCAGAATGTGAAATGCCACACAACTAAGTTCTCCGAATGACCTTTAAACAGGTCATATTTGTGGGATATGGTGGTCCATGCCTATAATCACAGCACTCAGCAAGCACAGAGGCAGGTGGATCTCTGGGAGTTTGAGGCCAGCCTGGTCAGTGTATTAAAGAGCTACACTGTCTCAAAAATCAACAAATAAACAAAACAAACCAACAAAGCAGGTCATATCTAATTTCAAATAATCCAAAGCTTCTATAGTCTATTCTACAATGTTAGAATAGATGCCATTTAATGGGGCTGTCTCAATACTGAACATAAAGTGGAAAATGAAATGATTCCTCAGCCAGGTTTTCACGATATGTGTGTCCTTGTTAACCTTTAAGTTCAAGTGGAAGTTTAAAAGCACCTACTTTTACAGGCAACTTCACGAGTTGGTATCATAACACAAGATGTGACCAGCATGGTGCTGTCTATTCTCATCTCCTTCATACATGGATGGGAGATGACTCTCCTGATTCTCAGCTTTGCGCCTGTACTTGCAGTGACAGGAATGATTGAAACTGCAGCAGTAGCTGGATTTGCCAACAAGGATAAGCAAGAACTTAAGCGTGCTGGAAAGGTAAAGTACACCCTCTGGTTTCCATCATCAGTCACATCTTGGCTATGACTTAATCTCAGGGATCTGCAGAGCTCTGTGTACATACTGAACGGCATGTGGACCATTGCCGGACAAGGCGTGGGTATATTATTGCAATGTGGTCTGTGACTCAGAACAGAGTTGAGCCAGATCATACACATGTGACACAAGTATGTTGTGTATACATTTGCCTCCCTTTGTTTGCCCCTCTGTAAAGCAAGGATGATGATAAGAGTATCATTTACAGATCTGTGCATTACACAAAGCATCATCACAATACCAAACACTTAGAATGGCAGCCAGAAGGTAGCAAGCACACATAACAGTGTCATTCATTAATACTGTTACTGCCAAGGGGAATTTACTAATGCCATGATTCCCTATCCTCTATTTACTGAATAATTAAAATTTCTCAAGCAATAATTCTGGGTATTTTATTTTTCAAAAAATGCACAGGAAATCTAATAGCTACTGAATATGAGACAATGAAACTAATAATACCTAAATACTACCTATCCTTTTTATAATCAAAATGAACAATTTATGCCATTATATAATAAATCCTTTGGCACACTTAAGCTTCTCAGGATCAGCCACAGTCAAAAAAACAAGTGAGTACCACGTTTGAGATTTAGGAAACACTGCCACAGAATTACCATCTGTGTTGAAAGAGGGTCATTTGATGGAAGGACTGACCTCAAGCAGGAAGCCTCACTATATAGTAACGTGTTATCAATTATTCATCCACCTTCTAGTCACCTGTTCAGAGGGTGGCTAGCAATGCATGACTATCTCAGGCTTCCCACTCTTGCATTGTGTTTTAATGCTTTGGAAGGGGGATGGGGATGTATTCTGGCTTTTGTTTTGTTTGAGTAGCTTAATACACTACATTCCTTTTAGAAGCTGCAGCATGTTCCAGAGGCTTAGTCTTTTTCACTCTTCATATTGACTCAAAGCTCTTTGATGGCCGTCATCTGAACATGAAAACAACTTTGATGTCATCATCTGTAGTCCACATTATAGTAACTAGATCAGAGCTAGCATAGTATAAACATCACAGATACTCTTAAGTGGAGACCATTACTTAGTGATCTGGTTTGCCTGACCCTTGGACCTTTCCATATTTCTTGACCCTTGGACATTTCCACATTTCTTACACTAGATAAGGAGCCTTGAAATGTCTGCTTGTACCGGATAAAGTGAACTACTTGGCAAATATTTTCCTCAGAGACAGTGAAGAGTTGTTTTACCCTCCCTGTATACTTTTAAAATTGTGATAATTTGAACACTTTCTAAATCATTGAGACATTAAGTTTTTTAATCTCATTTTTTGTGTCATGAGCTTTTGTTATAAATGTGCCCTTTGATATTTTATTTTTGTGTCATGAGATTAACCTGAGATCATACAATTAGTAACTGCCTTTAAATTAGGCAATCTGAGTATGTTTCCTATTGCTTTCAGCAAGTCAACTTACCAGAGATGAACTTAGAATATAGGCCAGCCCAGCGAGATGGTTCAGAAGGTAAAGGCACTTGATACCAAGCCTGCCAAGCCTGATGACCTGAGTTTGTTCCTGGATTTCTACATGGTGAAAGGGAAAAACAGACTATCACCCAAATTGTCCTCTGCCCTCCCATGGGTGTTCTCTCCATCCTGTCCTATACACAAATGTATACACACAATCAATTAATCAATATAAATCTAAGCATTTAATAATAATCAATTAATCAATGTAAATTTAAAAATTTAATGATAAAATATGCTAGCCTTCCTTTTAGTTGCTTATGTAGACTGGAAGAAATCATCAAATGTTTTTTTCTGATGAAAGTGGCTTTACTAGTTTTTCTTAAGACTATAGAATTTCCTGAGGCTTCAGAGGTGGCTCAGTGATTAAGAGCTCTTGGTACTCTTCCAGAGGAACTGAGTTAAGTTCCCAGCACCCACATGGTGACTAACAACCAACCAGTTTCAGAGGATCCATTGTCTTATTCTGACCTCTGTAGGCACTAGGAATGCATATGGTCCCAGAAGTAGACATGTACACAGGAAAGGCACTCATATACATTTTTAAAAGACTATTTTCTAAATTTCTGTAGCAGTGTCCCTCTCTACATTGTGAAAAATAATCACAAAGAGTCTCTTATTGTTGCTCATTTCTTTTTTGCTCTAGAACATGACTCCAGCAGTCTTAATCATTTTCCTTGTAAACAACTTGTGAAAAGTGAAAGGTTCCTGGAGATTAATAAAGTTAGGAAGTTAATGAGAATTTGAAACAACTGAACATGAAAACTGAGAGCAGAATCCTAGTATTCTAATGCCATTTAGTCAACTCTTGCCACCCAAAATGCCCTTTAATAAATGTGAGGTGTACACCTGGGTTCCCTGTATGGCAGTCTACAGAGGCATTCTGAAACAAAATGTGGTAATGCAAAATTTATCTTTCAAGAGACAACCCACTCTCAGATTCAAATGTTATTCTAAGCCCTCCCTGTATACTTTTAAAATTGTGATAATTTCCCATTCCGGAACCCATGTAATTGCATTCTTTTTGAACACTATATAATCATAAAGAAACATTAGCTGTATTTGAATTACATGTCTTTTTAAATTCCTAGACTTCAAAATAGGAAATGGTTTTGTTTTATAAAAAAAAAATTATAGCCAGCTGAGTGGTAGTAGCTCATTAAAGGTAGTAGCCTTTAATCCCAGCACTCTGGGAGCAAAGACAGGTGGATCTCTATGAGTTTGAAACCAGCCTGGTCTACAGAGCAAGTTACAGGACAGCTAAGGCTGTTACAGAGAAACCCTGACTCAGAACACAAAAAAAAAATTTTACAGTCACTTTGTAAGATGCCTTGTTGGGATATTCCTGAGTCCTGTTTGGCTATGATTTGCAGTTCTGTGACAGAATAATAATTTATTTGACTTGCCTGCTATCTTTTATAAGCATTGTTTCATGATTTATAAGAAACCCATTCACATGTGAACATACTCAACAATGTTTGATTTCTCTGCTGGGGAAACAACTGAAATTAAATTCAGTAAAGACTTAAGGGTCTTAAACTGTATGTATTAAATCTTTTCAAACGAAATTACCATCAAGTAATTTTTATCTTATTAGGGTGGGAGTAAGAGTAATTGCCAGGAAAAAAAATATTGAGTTAAAATATTGTATCCCCAGACTGGAATTCACTGGAAGTAATTTTAGTGAGTTTAACATCACTAATATTACTTCTATATTTTATTGTCCTACCTTATAAGATAGCAACAGAAGCTGTGGAGAACATCCGAACCATAGTGTCACTAACAAGAGAGAAAGCCTTCGAGCAAATGTATGAGAAGACGCTTCAGACCCAACACAGGTGACTATAGCTCAAGCCCACCCTACCAGATTTCATCCTGAAAATGAAATGCTCAGGGTGACGACCCCTGTGACTTGCTTGCTAAGCTATTTCCTTGTTACTCTTTCCTAAGAACAGTGCATTCTAACTTCTCCTGTGACTTCACCAAGAAAAAATAAAGAGCATCTAGGGCAAGCACAACAAAGAAGTGTAGGCTCCCCAAGTGACCATTGGCCCAGTGTCAACTTATTTCTGAAAGAAGGTTGAGGCAATGACGTGTGGAAGAAGGAAAACAGGATTCCTCACCCTTTTACATTAAATCTCTAGGAAACAAGCTTATTTAACAGGCTCTCCTGATTACACTGCCTCTGGTTCTCTGTGTAACTTTATCAGAGAGAGAATTTTGTACTCATTTGCACTGATGTTTGTGGTCTACACCACCAATTAATTGTCACTGTGTATTCTACTAATGTAAAACATTGTGGAAATTAGAGAATACTTCTAAGTGCCTCATAGCCCCCTCTCCTTAACTCTTAGTTTTTCTTTCATATGAAAATAAACTCTGTTACAATAAACCATCTACAGCTATAGAGAAAATTGCCTGTCTTCCCTGTGATAACCTTATAATCCTTAGAAAATGTATATCCACAGAATTATAGCACTTCAAAGTCCTCTACATCCATCACTCTTGAGTTTACTATATTGACCGTCTGTCACCCATGTTCCGTAATTTGACATGTGTGTTTCAGAAATGCCTTGAAGAGAGCGCACATCACTGGCAGCTGCTACGCTGTCAGCCATGCTTTTGTGTATTTCGCCCATGCAGCGGGATTTCGATTTGGAGCCTATTTGATTCAAGCTGGACGAATGACACCAGAAGGCATGTTCACGTAAGTATGCAGATAAACCCTGTAAGTGGGTTATGCACATGTGTCTAGTTTATGGAGGATTCCCATCCAGTTCTCCTGTGGAAGGGGTTTTCTTAAAACACTTAAATGTATGTATAGTGTGTGTGTGTGTGTGTAGTTTTTTTATTTTTAATTGACAAGTAACTTTTGTGTTTATTTACAGGGCAAACTGTAATATTTTGACAGGTGTTTCCATTGTTCAATGATTAAATCAAGGTGTGTGTGTGTGTGTGTGTGTGTGTGCGCGCGTGCGTGCATGCGTGCGTGCGTGCGTGCGTGCGTGAGAGAGAGAGAGAGAGAGA